TGGGTTTTGAACCTAGTCCAATCGGGCTACGTCATCCCCTTTACCTCTACCCCGCCCAACCACCCTCCTACCCCATCCCTTTTCAGGGACCCCTCTCATGAAGCCGTACTCCTGCAGGAGGTTTCACACCTCATTCAACTGGGCGCAGTAGAACACATATCAACACATTTCCGAGGCCGGGGATTCTACTCAACGTACTTCCTGACCCAGAAGAAGACAGGAGATTGGCGCCCCATCTTAGACCTCAGGCGCCTCAACAAATACATTGCATACCGCCGTTTCAAGATGGTTACCCTCTCAACTATCATTCCTGCACTCGACCAACACGATTGGCTTTCGGCTCTCGACCTTCAGGACGCATATTTCCATATTACAATTCATCCTGCTCACAGACGCTTCCTCCGATTTACAGTGGGTACCCAACACTACCAATACAGGGTGCTCCCATTTGGCCTCTCTACGGCCCCCAGGGTATTTTCCAAAACCCTATTGGTAGTAATGGCCTTTCTTCCACGCCGAGGCATCATAATATTCCCATACCTGGACGACTGCCTCATAAAAGCTCAGTAGCCCTTTTACTCAGTCTCGGGTTTCACGTAAATTACGCAAAATCCACTTTATGCCCAACACAAAGACTGGAGTTCATAGGTGCCCTCCTTGATACAATCGCAGCAAGGGCCACTCTTCCCGAACACAGGTTTGCGATAATACGTGACCTTGTCCGAGCAACACAAGCGGTACCTACTGTCACGGTCCGCCACTGCCTCAAAATCCTCGGACACTTGGCCTCCACGACTTACGTCGTCAGTCTGGCCAGACTCCACATGAGACCTCTTCAGTCCTGGCTCGCTACGGTGTACAGACCCTTCAGGGACCAAATCTCCAAGTACGTCGCTATCCCACCACGCATTATCAATTCCATGCTCTGGTGGACAATTCCTCAAAATATGCTACACAGCGTTCCCTTTCAACGTCCAACTTCTACTCTCATGCTTATAACAGATGCCTCACTCATGGGATGGGGAGCCCATTTGGGAAGCATCACAGCCCAAGGCAAATGGTCATTTGTGGAGCAAACACTCCACATCAACCTCCTCGAGTTACGGGCAGTCAGATATGCATGCCAATACTTCATTCACCATATAGCCCACAAGACCATCACCATTATGACGGACAATACCACCTGCATGTACTACATCCACAGCAGACGCCCTAAGTTGCATGTTCATGGACCAGCACGAGTGGGAGATCGACAGACACGCCCTCACTCCGATCTTTCTTCACTGGGGCCAACCAGAAGTCAACCTCTTCGCCACAAAGAACAATCGAAAGTGCCACCTCTACTGCTCCAGGGGAGCCTTGGGCAGAAGTTCCCTCGGAGACGCCTTTTCCATTGCATGGGACGCCTCCCTCCTCTACGCCTTTCCCCCTCTTCCCCTCCTACACAGAGTCCTGGACAAGATCTTTAGTTTATTTCTTCAATATTTTAATACCTTTCCTTGCAGGGCATTAAATTCTTTGGGAAACACTTCTAATGTCTGGAAAAGCATGGTTGACCTCCTCTCACAAAACCATGGTCGGACCCTTCACCCGGACATCCCCAAGCTGAAGCTCCACGCCTGGTTCCTTCATGACTCCAAGATGCCGAAACGGCCTGTTCAGAACAAGTGAGACACATACTAATTAATAGTCGGAGACGCTCCACCAGGAAAACCTACCGGTACAAGTGGACGCGTTTCTCCCAATGGTACGCTCAAACCCATGCAAGCCCACCACATCTTGCTCCTTTACATACCTTATTGGACTACTTACTCTCTCTAAAACACTCCGGCCTAGCACTCAGTACTATCAAGGTCCATGCTGTGGCCATAGAGGCTTTTCACCGTTCTCTACGAGGCACTTCCTTTCTCACTGACCCACTGACCAAGCGTTTCTTCAAAGGCCTGCAGAACACCTTCCCTCCGGTTCGGCCACCAGTCCCCATTTGGGACCTGAACCATGTCCTTAAGAGCCTCACAAAACCCCCATTTGAACCAATAGCGACCTGCTCTTTGTCTCATCTGTCCATGAAAGTGGCTTTTCTCATCGCCATTACCTCCAGTAGGAGGGTGAGTGAACTTGCAGCTTTAATGGCTGACCCTCCATACACCGTATTTTTACAGGACAGGGTGGTACTCCGACCCCACCCTAAGTTCCTACCTAAAGTACCCTCTCCCTTCCATGTGAATGAACCCATACACTTACCTGCCTTCTTTCCGAAACCGCACATGGAACCGATGCAGACCGTGTGGCACACTCTCGACGTCCAACGAGCATTGGCGTTTTACATAGATCGCACGAGACCCTGGCAAGCCTCGCCTAGACTTTTCATCTCATATGCTGAAAGATCTAAGGGACAAGCAGTCTCAGCTCAGAGAATCTCTAAATGGATTACATCCTGTATTAAAACCTCTTATACCTTACATAACAAAGACTTACCTGGACTTATCACAGCTCATTCCACTAGAGCGGTAGCTTCCACGACCGCTTTTCTTCGTAATGTTCCATTGCAGGACATTTGCAACGCTGCTACCTGGTCATCTGACCACTCGTTTGCGCAACACTATGCTCTCTCCACCTCGATAGCATCTTCTATGGCGATTGGACAAGCGGTGCTATCCACAGTTACTACCACATGGCTCCAAACCCACCTCCGCGAGCCGACAACTGCTGTGTAGTCACCTAGAGTGGAGCACCCACGGGGACCACTCGAAGGAGAAGAAAGAGTTACTCACCTTGTGCAGTAACGGTTGTTCTTCGAGATGTGTCCCCTTCGAGATGCACCCCTGCTCCACTACCCTCCCTCCTTCCCCTGCTTGGAACCTGATACTCTGGCGGGTAGAGAAGGAACAGAGGAGCCGCGCGCGCGCAGGCGCCATTCAGTCCCAACGACACTAGAAGGCGCCATGGCGCCTGCGCGCCGCGGCAGAAACAGCTAGAAAAAGTCTCCAGTCGCTGGCGCGAGGATGCACCAGCACCTAGAGTGGAGCACCCACGGGGACACATCTCAAAGAACAACCGTTACTGCACAAGGTGAGTAACTCTTTCTTCTGAGGATGGGGAGGTAGTTCAGTCCCTTTGCCTATGTAGTTTGTTTCTTATTGGATGTAACAACAAGTATCAAATTGTTTTTAAATCTTGATTCTTTTCTTGAAATTACAAATAAATAAAAAAATCAAGATGTATGTTTTATGAAAATGTTCACAAAAACGACTTTCCGTTTGATAACCACTTCTATTTGTAACTTTATGGTATCGACATTTTAAAAATCCAAGGCACAGTCTCCCTATTTAAAAGTGAACAGTTTCTTGAATTGAATATATTATAGACTAATTAATCCTGTTTTAATGGTATAACTTTTGATAATATTGCACTCATGTTTTGTATCCTTTTATATAAAGGTCAATTGAACAAGTAGGCAAGGATTGGAGGATAGAAGATGAAAAAAATGGTGTAGGGAGATACTAAGATCTATATGATAGTTACTGCTAATTGAGTAAACAATGTAGAGAATATAATGTGTTATGATTTGAATAACTGTTCATTCCCTCTACATAATACTACCATTACTAACTGATATCGGTTAAATTAAAATAAGGTTTCCAGACTCTTTGTCTTTGACTGCCTGGACACACCCAAGGATAATAGGCAGTGACCCCAGGGAGAAAGAGATCTTCCCTGGCTTGGAGGTTTAGCTGAAATAGGAACAGTTTTAGGGTACGTTTGCAATAAGCTTTAATGTGTTAGAACTAGCTATGCATTTTCTGTTATTTTAAATTTATAATTTACATTGCTGTGTCCAATTTCACTTGCAACCACTTAAATCCTACTTTTGTACTTAATAACATTAATTGTATTTACTATCAAGCCCAGTGTAAATAATTGTTACCAGGGGGAGCAATCAGCATGTACATCTTCCTTTCATTATTAAAGGGGGCTTGTCTGAATTATTTATTTGGGGCTCTGATCCCATTTGGGGGATAGATTTCCTCCATGCCTAAAACTGCATTCTTATCAGGCCTGAAGTGATTCAATGTCTGCATTGCTGTTTGGGGTGGTGGTGATCTCAGCTGTGTCCCTTAGCTGGGGGAGACCAGGCGATCTGACTCAGCAGGACAGGGTGGTGAGAAGCTCCAGAGAGCAAGGAGGCACATGTCAGTGGCTTTGTCAGCATACTGGGAAGCAACCCCAAAGGTTCCTCTGTGACCTCACTCTGTCACAACTTGATCCTGGCATCTCAATATCTGGGGAGAAAACACTGGGTAGTGAAGGGCTCTCTAGTCTAGTGGAGAGTGACAGAACAAAAATCGTCATCTGGAAGCCTTATGCCAAATAAGGCAGTACTTTTTATGGTGAGGGTGATTAACCATTGGAACAAATTCCCCAGGGAAGAAGGAATGCATAATAATCTCTTAATGTCTTCAAACCTAGCTTGGATATCTTTCTAGAAGATATACTTTACCAACACAACTTGTTAGGTTCAGCACAGGGGTAACCAGGTGAAATTCTCTAACATATGATATATACAAGATGTCCCTTTTGGACTTGAAACCTGTTCATCTAGTTCTTAGCGGCGATCTCAGAATTTGGTGTGTCAACAGATCATCACAAACATATTACCTGCTGCACTAATCCCATTTCCTGTACCCTTCTAGAAAGCAATTTCAAAATTTCAGGGGCCAGCTGGCCTGGCAGGAGTAGATCACAGTAGAAAATGCAGCAGCTAGCTGCATGTATCTCTCTTGTTATTCTCCTCACATTTTATTCTGTTTCATCCCTTTCTTCTAAGGATCCATACACAGCACTTGATTTCAGAGACAGACAGAGCAGGTTGACTGAGTGCTGTAAACACTGGTACCGTGTAAACCAACCCTCACAATTTTTTTGTTTTAATATCTGAAAGGAAATCAGAAAATGAGCAGCCCATACCTATTGCTGTTACCTTTTTGTTATGCACACAGGTGGCCTGGCATGGTGGAATGTGACCCTGACATCGGGGAGTATTTTCTGTTTTCATCCCGGTTGGATTCTCTTCCTGTAAGTGATATTATACTTTACACATGTGGTCGTATTCTTTATGAGCTTACTTTACCCATTGGAAGGCTCTGTTCCTCCCCCAAATCTCCTCTGTGCCACATTCTCATCCCCTTCTATTTTGGGTCTCCCTGAAACTCCCCGTCCCCATGCTAGTGGCTATATTAGAAATAAGCAATAATTTTTGATGGGGGTCACTGCCAGATTTTGGTAAGTGTTCAAGGACTGCACTTTTCTATGGAGGAGGTGTAGGGTCTGAGATGTAGGTTGGATGCAGAAGAGCACTTGGGGTAGCATATGGGCTCCATGTGTGCTGTAACCCTGAGCATGGGGAGGGAGGTTTCAGAGAGTCTGGGTGGTGACCTGGGGCAGGGAGTTAGGGAGTGGGTTGTGTTGGGGTGCCAGATGCAAGCTCTGGCTGGGAGATGCTTACGTAGGTGACTCCTGGCCAGCAGCCCAGCAGGACCCTCAAGCAAGCTCCCTGCATGCCGCAGCCCCAGGCTACTCAAAGTGGTTGGCTGCTGGGGCCATGTGTGTCTCTGCACTGTACACCAATGGGGGCAGATACTTAACATGCTGCCTCTGCCCTCAGCCAAATCATTGCAGCTCCCATTGGCTGCACATAGACCCATCAGCTGACTGTTTAGAATGGCCTGGGGCTGTGACAAGCAGGGAGCCTAGCCTGCTTGAGAATCCTGCTAGGCTACAGGCTATATCCAAAGGCTTGGTGAACTGGATCTGGCCCAGAGGCCATATCTGCCCCTGGGCTATATGTACCCATTCATTCTCCTTACTTACCCTCACTTACTTTCCCATGGCAGGGCTCTATGTTTATCCCTCCCTACCTCCCTCTATTATAGTGGCATTCCCTGTTTCACATTACTGGTGTAGCCAGCATGACTATGAGTCCATATACACTTTGTCTAGTCATTTTCCACCCTCGTGTCATTACAGAACAAAGGGTGCTCTCTTTGTAATTTCCCCTACAATCTCATGCCAGCCAAACCTCATCCCACTGGAGGACATCAAAGGCCCCAGTAACAACTATCTGGGTGAAACCAGACAGTTGCTATGCACTCAAATGAACTTACACAGGAAAATGGTAAAAGACCAAAATACCATATTGTTTTTGGGCAAACAATTGTTGCAAAGCCATCATTCCATATATCAGGGGTCTCCAACCTTTTACAGCACAAAATCCAGGATCTACCTCAAACTGAAACACCCTTGCCCTGCCTCCTTCCCACCCTGTCTCCAAGGTTCCACCCCTGCTTGCTCCATCCTTCCTCCTTCCCCCATCCTCCCTCACTTTCAACAGGCAGGGGCAGCAGGTTGGGGAGGCAGGCTTTGGTCTTGGATTAAGGGATTTGGAGTGTAGGAAGGGCTCTCATCTGAGTTTGGGGTAAGCAGTTAGGGTGCCAGACGGGGTTCTAGGTGCAAGGTCTGGGAAGGTGTTTGGATGCAGGGGTGTTTGAGTCTAGGGCAGGGGCTTGGGGTACAGGAGGGGGTTCATGACTGGGGTAGGGTTTCAGGATGTGGTTTCCGACTGAGCACTGCTTCTGGGTGGTGGTGCAGTGGGACTAAGACAGGCTCACCCCTGCCCTGCCCCACTCCCAAAAGCAGCCAGCAAAGGCCCTCCATTCCAAGCCCTGTTGTGCCTCCCCCTCCACTCTGTGAAGATAGGATACAGAGTGGGAGAGAGGGCACCTTGACATCAGTGCCCCTCTTCTTCCTTCCCTGCCGTGCACAGCAAGCAGGAGGCTCCTGGGGATGGGGGGAGGCAGCTCCAAGTCAAAGGGCAGGAGTTGCGCAGCAGTGGGGGAAAGGGCAGCTGAAGTGCTGGCACTTGATAGTCTCTTGGTCAAACCAGTCAAGATCACCTATCAGTGGTTCCAAGATCTACCAGTAGATACCGATCTACTGGTTGGTGACCACTGCCATAGATGATTTTTCAGTCCTTGTATTCAAAGGAAGAGGCAACCCTGGAAATTCAGCTAGACACCAAAAGCCACAGATTTAACAGAGACACTGATTTTATGACTCATTCCAGCAATTTGTAACACACAACAGCTACCCTTAATTACCTACTTCATACCTTTTTTGCATAACAATCTGGCCCCCAATTGCCCACTTCATTTCCTCCTGCAACAGGCATTCCCCCTTCCCCTTAACACTCCATACCAACTTGTATTTAGTGCCGATATTTTCCTTACTTCACCAGACCTGCAGACGAGCTCCAGAGGTTGGTCCAATAATAGACCCATTTTGTCCCTCTCTAGAATTGTGACACAAAGTTAACCTAGTGCTGTCCATTTCTCTTTGCAGTCCAAGTACCATGTGACGTTTTTTGGTAACTCTGTCTCCCGCGCCTGGATCTCTGCAACCAAGCTCAGAAACTTCCATGAGTTGTCTACGTACAGCCTTGGTTTGGTAAATAGCGGGTCCTCCCAAAGATCTGCACTGGAACCAGTTCAATACATTCATAAATATCCTGGAAAAGGAGGATGAATGGTCAGGTGGCAACATTTACATATGATATAATTGCTCATAATAGTTAGAACCAAAGCTGATTGCAAAGAGTGACAACCCCCCTGGTGGCCAAAGGGAGAGAGTTGGGCCAGCCTTGGCCCAGCCCAACCCCCTGGCAGCCAAGGGAGGGGGGAGAGTCAGGGCTTGCTTGGCTTTGGGGGGGGGGCCGGGGGGAGAGAGCTGGGGCAGACCAGAACTGCTACGCCTTGGCCTGGCCTGGCCTTCCCTGGTAGCCAGAGGGGGAGTGGGGCTGCCTACCTCAAGAGAGGGGGGTTGGTGAGACTAGCGAGCAGGGGGCGCCGCCCCCTAGTAATTTCTAAAAGAGATATTACCCCTTACTTATCACACTATACTACTGCTAAAGGTACCTCATACCAGATAAGTCCTGCAGATTTTTCATTACTAAAATATAGTTAAAAAGTTAGGAAAGTATATAGATTTGCAGGTTACAAGCTTTGATGGGGTGATTGCAGAAAAATAACCACTCATCACACTAAAATAGATGGTAATGTTGTAGCACTACTCAAAGAAAGCATTTCTTGATACTTTGTCTCCTCTGGAACAATTGTATCACATTCACCTGACCCTGTAATTTGTACAGGTGTGGATCGTCTGGTCATGCACTGAGATAGGTAGGCGACCTTACAATGTTGAGAACCCATTATAATAAACACAAGTCTTATTGCAACTCCTTGAACAATGACCCATACTTTTAGGTTATGTGCCTCCAAGGGACATCTGTTTCTGGTTCATCCTCCTCTAACAGCTAAGTACCACGTATTGTGTCTTATCCGTATCATTGGTGATTTGGATAAGGTAAGTATCTTTTCGGGCCAATAGTTGTTTTAATTTAAACCTACAGGAGGAATGTGGACCAAAAATGTTGGAGTACTTTGGACCACTAAATATTGATAGTGGGAATCTGAAATAATTATGGTTGCATTCTCAAAGGCATGGATAGGGAACATCCCTTGATTACCAATTGAGGTAAAGTGTTTTGGTGTGAAACAGAAATTTGGATCCGTGACTGGACACTCTTAGGAACCATACTGGAATGTTTTTCGGTTTATGACTACACAAAATTGGCCATTGCCTGCATAGGTCACCCCCTCAGTTGGAGTCTTCCATCAGGTTAACCAGACTGCACGCAATGACAATGAGTGATTATGAGGGTCTCCATGGAGTCTGCACAGGATGGTGTCTGCCTCAAACACATTACAGCTACAGATAAACTGAGGCCCTTTTTCCGAGCAACAGGTCATCTGAGGAACTTTACATGTTCAGGTTGGTGTATGAGAGGACACTAAGGGTATGTTTAGACTACAGGCTTTTGTCGACAGAAGTTTTGTCGACAGATACTGTCGACAAAGCTTCTGTCGACAAAGAGCATCTAGACTACATCCAGTTCTGTCGACAAAGCAAGCCGCTTTGTCGACATGACAGTGTAGACGCAAAGGACAGTATAGATGCAATAACGCCTTCTCTTGCTAGAACTCCGTTGACAAAAGGCGTTATTCCTCATAGAATGAGGTTTACCGCCGTCGACAAAACTGCTGAGTTCTGTTGAAGTTATGTCGACAGACCCTGTAGTCTAGACATACCCCTAAGGGAGGTACAGCCACTCGTTCTTCTTCAAGAGGCATCTCTGGGGGTACTCCACATTAGGTGCTAGAGTGTCCCAGTTTCTCTCAACAGATTTTTGCTAGCAGTGCATTTGGGACCGTGCATGTGTAGTGCGTGGTGTGCATGGCCCCCCACCCCCAATGCCATCGCGCATGTGCGGCTCCCCGCCCTTCAGTTCCTTTCTACTGTCCCCGATTTCAGAGGGAACTCTGCAGTGCTTTCGTTCTTTGACTCTTCTTTAATGTTTTTCTAGTTATTTAGTTCAACCTTCAGTTCTTAGTTGTTAGTGTTAGTTAAGAATTAAAACAAAACAACCCCAAAAAATGACCTCCACTCGCAGGATATTACTGTAGCATGGGATTGTCCGGCTTTAAATGCTGTGCGCTCTTCAGAGATGGTCTGCACTGTGCAAAGCTTAGAGAGCTATGCTTAAAGATGCTTCTGGCGGACAAGGGCAATCACAATTCTTCTGACCCAGGATCGGGGCAGAATAGCGCAGAATGAAGGGATAAATACCCTAAGCCCACAAAGAGGCAGGCAAGCTCACTGCCCCAGCATTCGCCTAAGAGGCATTCTGCTGGGAAAAAGTCAGATTACTCCGATAAATGCCGCCTGAACACATTTGACTGCCTAGGTACTTCGGGCGAGAAGCGCACTAAGCACAAGAGCACAAAAAAGACTGCTCTTGCAGAGGCAACAGGCCACTCTGTGCTTGCCTCAAGTAATGCGGTACTGAGCACAGCACCGCTTACCTCCACACAAGCGCCACCTGTGCCTCAGGTGCTCGACACGTTACTGAAGCAGCTAACAGAGCAGCCACTTGGCACCGCCCTTCCCCCTCTGTTGTCAGGAGCAATCCCTCATGCTGTGAGCTCTGCTACTGTGGCGCAGCAGGCATTCCTCTCAGTGGCAACACAGCTCCCCAAGCCACACACTCCTGTTATGAATTACAGGGAGCACAGGGACTCAGCCATTTTATACTCCATTCTCCGATTTTGAGTGAAGACAGACATCCTCACTCAACCAGTCTCTGTTTACTCTAAATCACCCTCCCCCCATCAGTGGAAGGGGAAGAAGACTTAACTGTCTTTTCACCTCAGTTATCTCCACACAAACAAGGGTCAGGAATGTCATTCAGTCAGGCACAACCAGATATCATTAGAGCATAAATGGCTCCCTGGGCTCCATATCCCTGGATGCCACCACCAGTGCCTTACCCCCCACATTGGCAAATGTGGAATCAATGGCCTCAGCAACCTAGAAAGAGACCACGTAAAACCAAACACATGATAAGGCCTCGCTCTGCCCTGACCTACTCACTCTGAATGAGCACGGGGAAAAATGATATTGACAACCAAGACTCCCCAAATTCTGCGCCTGCAAATTTATTGCACATGCACTCACTGGCTGGCACAGAGGAAGCAATCATACCACTGTCCTCCAACAACACAGAGGACATTTCTTCCTTTCAAGATCTCTTCCAAAGAGTCACAGATTATTTAAATATCCTCATGGAGGAGGTGCAGGACTCTCACCATGAACTGACAAACATCCTTCAGGCAACTCCATCCACCAAAATTGCCTTACCAATTAATCCAGCCATATTAAAACCAGCAAAATCCTTGTGGCAAACACCTGCCTTCCCACCGATCTGTAAAAGCAGACTGGAAATACTATGTCCCTCCCAAAGGATCTGAATTCCTTTTCACACACTCTCTGCCTAACTCCCTTAGGGTATGTCTAGACTACAGGCTTTTGTCGACAGAAGTTTTGTCGACAGATACTGTCGACAAAGCTTCTGTCGACAAAGAGTGTCTAGACTACATCCAGTTCTGTCGACAAAGCAAGCCGCTTTGTCGGCATGACAGTGTTGATGCAAAGGACAGTATAGATGCAATAACGCCTTCTGTTGCTAGAACTCTGTCGACAAAAGGCGTTATTCCTCATAGAATGAGGTTTACCGCCGTCGACAAAACTGCTGAGTTCTGTTGATATTATGTCGACAGAACTCAGCGGCAGTGTAGACACAGGTATTGTTTTGTCGATAAAAGTCCACTTTTGTCGACAAAACCCTGTAGTCTAGACACACCCCAATAGTGGATGCGGCACAGCAGAGAAATAAACAGAATCGTTCTACTCCATTGGACAAAGACAACAAAAGACTTGACTCACTGGGGAAAAAGGTATATGCCTCGGCCCTCTCCAAATGAGAGCAATGAACTACACCGCATTACTCAGCAAATATGATTTTAACAATTATGGAAAGCACAACACCTTTATTGAGGATATTCCCGACAACAAAAAGGCTTAATTCAGAGCGATCATGTCTGAAAGACAAGCAGTATTATGTATAGCATTCCAAGCTGCCCTTGATGCCGCAGAGTTGGCGACAAGAACAACAGCCACGGCAGTGACTATGTGATGAGCCTCATGGTTCAACTCTGCTTTCTTCTTCGGTGGTGTCCCCGTGGGTGCTCCTCTTGGAGTCGGGCTCATCTCGGCGCCGCAGGTCGGAGAGTCGTCAGCTGTGGTCCAACTGGACCTCGCATGCATGGGGCGCGTGCTGCTCGTGCTGATTGTTAGCTTGTGCTGAGTCCGGCTTCCTGCCAGTTCCTCCTTACCGTTCAACGGTCGCAAGTGGAGCAAATCCCTTCTCTTCAGCTGTTTAAGAAAGATTTCTGTAAATAGTTAGTCAGCCGTTAGTTATTAGTTACTAAGTTAGTTAGTTAGGCACAGCTTTTTAATAGTTCTCCATTTGAAAAATAAAAAACAAAAGTTTTTTTTCCTCAGTTCATAATGCCAGCTTCCTCTGGCTTCAAAAAGTGTTCTGAGGGCCATGACGCTATGCTGATGTCTGATGGACACTCATTCTATGTTAAATGTCTGGGCGAGGGGCATGTACCCCACAAATGCCCACACTGTCAGAAACTGACTGGCAGAGCGTGATGGGACCGCAAGATGCCGCTGAAGATGCTTCTATACAGCAAGGTGCTTCAGCTGCAGGATACTCAACAGGGGCAATCAGAGCTAATTACCGCAGCGGCAGTGAAAACCCTGACCGTGTCATTTAAAGGCAGAGGTCAGAAATCAACCAGGCAACATCATCAAGGCGAGCGGCATGGAAAGAGCCACAGTGTCTCTGAGCCCAGCCCCACCTTTAGCAGGGGGGCGGATTGGGCAATGGCTGTGCCTCCCAGACCAGAATCGGCACCGGCGCCGGTCCTCAGGCACCCTCACACACCCGCGGCTGCAGGTGCTTCAGCCCAGGCGGTCCCGAT